AAAAAAAAAAAAAAGAAAACCCCACATGTTGTATGATTCCATTTATCTGAAGAGACAGGCAGATCTAGAGACAGACAGAAGCTCAGTGGTTGCCCAGAGTTGGAGGTTGGAGGGTGAGGAATGACCTCCGAAGGACACTGTGTTTCCTTTGGGGGAGACAGCAGTGTTCTCGAATTAAAATATAGTGATGATTGTAACACCGTGCGAATATACTAAAAAAACTTTGGACTGTATCTATGCTTTATTATTATTTTTATGTATGTTTTATTTATTATTGAAGTAGAATTGACAATCACTGTTATATTAGTTTCAGGTGCACAACATAGTGTTTCCACAAGCCTATTCATTACTCAGTGCTCACCATGAAAAATGTAGTCACCATATGACATTATTACAGTATTATTCACAGTATTCTCCATGCTGTGTTTTTCATCTCTGTGACTTATTTATTTTATAACCGGAAGTTTGTACCTCTTAATCACCTTTATCTATTTCAGCTATTCCCCTACCCACCTCCCTCTGGCAACCAATGGTTTGTTCTCAATTTAAGGGTCTATTTGCTTTTTGTTTGTTTTTAGATTGCACACAGAAGTGAAATCGTCTGGTATTCGTCTTTCTCTGGCTTATTTCACTTAGCATAATACTCTCTGGGTCCATCCACATTGTCATAAATGGCAAGAGCTCCTTCTTTGTTTTAACTGAGTAATATTCCATGCTGTGTGTGTATGTACACATATGTGTATATCACACATATATACACACATGTATATGTCACATCATCTTTGTGTATCAATACATTTGTGTATACTTTGGGTGAATTATCTAGTATATGAATTTCTTTCAGTAATGCGCTTTAAAAAAACAGAGTGGACTAAATTAGAACAAATGAAGAGATGCTCAGCTTCATTTTTTTTTTTTTTGAAGATTTTATTTATTTATTTTGACAGAGAGAGAGAGACAGCGAGAGAGGGAACACAAGCAGGGGGAATGGAAGAGAGAGAAGCAGGCTTCCCGCCAAGCAGAGAACCCGATGAGGGGCTCGATCCCAGGACCCTGGGATCATGACCTGAGCCGAAGGCAGACGCTTAACGACTGAGCCATCCAGGCGCCCCAACTCAGCTTCATTCTTAAGCAGAGAAATGTAAATGAGAAACTAAGGACAGGCTGTGTTTGATTTGTCAGAACAGCAATAGTGGTAATAGTATGAAGAAGGAGGGCCGATGGGAGGGGAGAGAAGGGTAGAGGAAGAGGGTGGCAGTGGGTATTATACAATCGTCCAAGTGTTTTTGTACTAGCCCTCATAAAATAATGGTTGAAGTGAAATTGGGGCACCACATTGGAGGGCAATCAGGTAAGATATAGCAACATTGAGAGTTACAAATTCTGTTAGGCAATGACTCTGCTTGGTAGAATTTATCTTGTATATTTAGACTCCTACTGATATATAGCTATAGAAAAAAAAAAAGATTTCATTGCAGGATTAGAAAAAATATTAGAAATGGCCTAAATGTCCTTCAAAGGTAGACTGGCTGAAAAAATTCTGACAAATCCAATTAATAAAATACTATACTCCTAAAAAATAAATCTAATTTATATGTACTGATGGAAAAATTTCAAAGATACGTGGTTAAGTTTAAAAAGCCAAATACAGGGCGCCTGGGTGGCTCAGTTGGTTAAAAAGCCAAATACAAAATATGTATATAATATTCCTATTTTTTAGAGAAGTATGAGAAGAGAAGCAAACATATATATTAATAGTACATTGCTGGAAGGACATTAAAAAAACGGTTAACCATTAAGAGGAAGACTAGCATAAAGGGCAAAGAGTGACCCTTTATTTCCATTGTCTTTTAAATTCTTTATGTTTATATCTTTTTATGCCATTTTAATTAATATCGTGTACATGTATTACCCTTTAAATTATTGAAGCAGGGGTAAGTAACTGAAATTAACCAGGAGCTCCTGATGGCATAATAATTTCAAAGTACAAGGACGCTTCTTCGTGTAGTTTCAAAGACCTTCTTCTATATCGCTCTGTGTAATGATGCATAGTTTCTTGTGGCATGTCAGTTTTTTACGATGTTACTGATGGGAAGTCTGATACCTGTGATAGTCAAAAATAGTCTTGTCTGCTGATAACAGAAAGTAACTTTGGTTAATTTAAGCAGAACACAAGTTTATTAGAATGAGGCAAAGAGATTCACGGAATGCCAGAAACCTAGAGAATGGGGTGTGGTAACTTCACAGAAACCGTTGGATGCTCAAGTATCGCAAGCCCCATTTTCCACTTGACAAGGCACCGACTGAGCAACTACTGTGTGCTGAGTTCTCTGTGGGCCCTGGGGATTCGAGAGGAAAGCTAGCCAGCAGGCTCCCCGGTAGGCACAAGAGAGCTTCTGTTCTAGTAAACACGGGTCCCTGTGAACTTGTGCTGTGTGCCAGGCATCGTTCCAGGCAGCGGAGGTGTCCTGACATTCAAATATCACCGCGAATTAGTGGGGCTGGTGCGCCCTGAGTGGTGTGTCTCAGCTCCCTGTGCAGGACGGCGTCACCCTGGTCCTGGGACTCTGCCCACTGCTGCTGGACCCATCACCACGGGCACTTGGCATTGGGCTCAAGGCTGTCCTAGCTCCACAGCCACTGGTTGGGTCCCCAGCCATCTCAGGGTGCTCTGCATCTGACACTCTAATTCAGCGCCCAGAGCGGGAGCATCCAATGGGATGCGAGACTTGGAGAGAACCAGTATCTGGCGTACAATGTTTCCCCTTTATGGCAGGTGGTGAATGCATCTGAAAGTGAAATATTACATGTGATTCATATGTGCTGATAAGGCAGGCTCTCAAAGAAGTATGGTTAAGTTACAAAGAGCCAGCATCAGTAATAAAATATATTAGAAATACATTATGAAGTATTAGACCTTAAGATGATAGGGAGTAGCATAACCCTGCATCTGTTGAAGCAATGACAGATCACACTATTGTAATGTTTTTAATGTGAAAATGAGAATTTTTATGTAAAAAGCTATTAAATATGTGTAATATTTGATTGTTTATTTACATTTATAGTTTGTGGGAAAAAAAGAAACAAAACTTCTCTTTTATTTAACATTCCATAAATTCTGGAAATATACTTCTAAACCCAGGTCAGCTTATTTGGAACAATTCTGCTGTAACGGATTATGACCCTAGTCATAATCCTTTACACACGCACATTGAGTGAGCTCATGACGTTTAAGCCACATACATTTCAAAATGTATTTTATGAGTAAACTCTTTAGAACAAACATCCTTATTTGGCAATAATTACTTAATAAATGTTTTCTCATTTGAATTTTCAGTGTTTACGTGTCTCTCGGTGTACCTGCACCTATTTGCTGCTCTGTAGATACAGATTATAAATTCACGACTACGTCACCTTCGTGACGTTTGAGATGGTTACATCTGCCTTCCCTTTAATGGACAGAAATCGTGCTTTATCCCTCTTTTGTGTCCTCCTGGAAACTTGCCTTCTGATATTGAACTGTACTCTTCTTTTGCATATTATTAAATTCAAATGAGTTTTGCAATCTACCTAAAATAAAAGGGATTACACCAACATATTCACATATGGAGAATGAAATGCCATGGATGTAGAGACCTGGAATATTCAACAACTTCTCTTTTGCGGAGTGTGTGTCTTAGGGCAGGCGAAAATAGCCAACGATTTCCCTCTCTGCGTGTAGATGGAGCCACATAGTGCTTTCAGTTAGTTTTCATGCACCAGCAAATATCTATAACTGAAAGTCAAAGTCGGAATGTAAGCTGCCCCTTTGGCCTCCCTCCCATTTGACATGTGAGGTTCTTTCTCACATTCTTTCTTTCTTTGACATTCTTGAATGTCTTTGAGGAAGAGTTTTTTGTCACTTGATCATTAACATAGATGCTAAAATCTTTCAAATAGCGTTAGCTGTTTATCTATGGAATTGCAACTCCTTCTGTGTCTTGTAGAATTTGCACCCATTTGTAAAATTTACCGTAGGTGTATGTTGGTGTAAATATGAGTACAGTGCCTGCAAATTAATCATTCCTTTTATTTTTCAGATCCCTTAAAATCCGATCAAGACTCTTCGAATCACTACCACGGCACCAGCAGTGGGTCCGTCGCGGCTGCCATCCTGGTCCCATTCTTTGCTCTAATTTTGTCAGGGTTTGCATTTTACCTCTACAAACACAGGTACTGTGGAAATCCCGAGGGTATGCAAACGCTGTGCGCGGAGAGCGCTGGTCTGGGCAACACGCATCCTCTCGCTGCCGCGTGCACACATGTGTATACAGCTCTGCAGCCTTCTCTCCAACATTACGAAAGCTCACACGGCAAGGTTTAGCCTTGCTTTGTTTGCCGTACTCGTTCAGCAGGCCGAGTTAGAGTAATGAACTTCAGGAGAATAAATAAGTGGATTTAAGAAATAACGGGCTAGGGTTCATAGTCAATTGAAAGATGCAGTGAAGGATTCTGTTTCTACTTTTGAGGTCCACAGCCAGACATCAGGGGCATTAGGATGGTACCTCCACCTTCCAACAGAAGATGGAACAGAATGCTCTTTACGGCCACTTTCAACTCCATGAATCTGTGATCTACAAACTGTTGGTTTATTCCTTTCTTCAGCCAGATACAAATTGAGTTCTCACTATGTACTCAAAGATACCACATGTTCCATCTCTTGGAACGGTGTTCTGACTATCTATGAATTTGCATATCCCTACTAACTGAAAAAATGTCAAAACTTGAGAAAAA